CCTGGCAGCGCCTGTTGGGGGACCTGCCACCTCCCCGGCTTCCTCCTCGCTCGAAAGAGGGACGTCTCGACTGGGGACGGGGCCCGAGGGCGGCGGGGGTCCCCCACGTGGCTGGTCTTCGAGGTCCACGTCGTCCTGGAAGCCGGCCACCATCGGGTTCGCCCCCAGGGCCTCCCCGTCGCTGCGAGGGCAAGGCAGCGAGGTCATGGGTGCAGGGGGCACACCGGGCAGTGGTCTAGTGGGGGTCACTTCCCAAGCCTCACGGGCTTCTGGGCAGGCAGGGCCAGAGGCTGGACACAGCGGCCCTGCTGCCGCCAGCAGCGTGGGTGGGGATGGCCCGAGGTGTGACTGCCATCTGTGCGCGGGGGTGGGAGCTGCATCCACTGCCATGGCGGGTCAGCTGCGTGGGGGTTCACAGCTGGGTCTGAGCGCAGGGCTCAGCTGGAGACAGTGGGGCCCAGCAGCCTGAGGGGCTGCCCAGCTCGGGCCAGGCAGGGTGAGGTCCAAGTGCCTCCCGGCAGGGCTCGGCCCCAGCCCCACGTGGAGCCTTCCCGGTGGCCTTGCTGGCGCCCAGGGAGGCTCCTGGGGTGCCCTGCCCCCACTGTGCCAGCCACCGTCCTGGGTCCCCAGGGCCCATGGCTGACAAGGCCTTGGCTGAGCAGGCCTGAGCTGATGCCGGGGAGCCAGCCGGGGTTGTCCCTGGGCCTGAGACACAGGCCGGTGGGTGGGTAGCCGAGCCACCACCCACCAGAAGCCCATCTTCCACGCTCCCCATGGAGCAGGTGAGCAGACAGGCAGGAGGTCCTTGGCTGGCTCTCACCTGTCGCTGTCCTGCCGAGGGGCCTTGGCGCCTGCCCTCTTCGCCTCCTCCAGGGGTGCCGTGTCTTCCAGGAAGCTGCGGTCGAGGCGGTCCTCAGGGACAAAGTCCTCCACGTTCTGGACCCTGGCTGGGGCCTCTGCAGCCGGAGCTGGCTCTGTGGAAGGCCGACGCCGGTCCCGCTTTGCCCAGCCCTGGCCCCCAGTGCACCCAGACCTCGGGCTGGGCCCGCAGGACTGGCCCACAAGGAGGGGACAGGCATCCCACCGAGGGGGGAGAAGGCAGGGGAAGCCTCGTCTCCGAGGCACGGCCGCCGGCCAGGGTGGCACCAGAGCCCCGCCGAGGGTCCACCCAGGGCCTACCTGGAGGCGGAGGCGCCGTGCCAGCGGCTGGCGAAGTCCCAAACAGCCGCGAAATGAGGCTGCGCCGCGGGGGTGGGGGC